CGAAAAATGTCAGAAACCGCGACAAACACGAGAATCGCTCTGAACACAGTAGGTCCTCGGTAGGTCTCTGCAGCCACAGGTCGTAAGGCTTGAGGGTTTCATGGTCAAGCGCTTTGCAGTCCAGCTAAGTTTGGGCAGGGTGCACTGCACCAACCCTACATATGCTCACTAATGTATGCAATTCCCTGTTATGGTTACCTGTTCATCAGAACATGTCTTCACAATAAATTTGGCCAAATGAATTTGGCTAGCAAAAGAAGAGCCAGCAAACTAGAGGTGTAACCCTGGGCCCTATAGTACGTCTTACACAATCTACAACCCATGTACCCGAAGATCTAGGGTAGCTGCAACAGCAGAATTCCCGGTGTATACAGTACGAGTATACACTAAAGCTACAGGTATGTGTCTGACACACGCGGAAAACCTAGGGTCTTAAATCCTCACCTACCCCCTTCCAATTTCTAGCCCCAAAAAATCCTGCAAAAAATCGAGTCCCTATAAATTGCTTAGAAGCCTAGAGAAACCCAACAAAACCCAAGGGAGCTGGGAAGTTTGCTTCGTGAACTTTACGGAGGCTTTGCCTGGTGAGACGCTTCCACGCCTGTCCTTCGGATGGTTGGCTCTGATTAATATGGGGCTTAGTAATTAGAATAGGGTTTTGGGGCCTGCAATACTATGTTTATAGTAAGGAACCCTCGGGATTAATATTGGTAATTATTTAGGCCTCTATAGTAAGTTTAGGATTTTAGGCTTGAAGGTTTAGCTTTTGGCTAAGCTTAAGCTTCTCACCACTCCCCCCCATCATATCATCTCACCACAAATCACCGACAACATCACTATCAACACCGCCACCCTAAACCTTAAGCTCTCAACCTCGCACTCTGAACCCTACACCCCTATACTGAACGTAGAACCCTAGCACAAATTATAATATTAGCTGTCTCAGACGGATTATAATAACCAAGAATTAAGAGTTAATTCTAAGTACCCCTAAGACCCCACCCCCTTCACCTTAGCCCTAAACCCTTCAGCCCTTACACTTCAAGACTTGTGAGTTCTGAACCAAGGGTCGATCTCGACCACCCTCAAGTTTTGAGGGTTTAGGGCTTAGGGGTTTAGGGAAAACCTGCTCTTAGTTGGTCTCTGGTTGAACATGTAAGGCTTTAGGGCTTACAGTTGCGGGTTCAGGGGAACCTCATGATTCCACATCCCGCCTTCCTCGTAAACCTTGATCCTTGAAGGCTCTCGAGAGCTCCGTCTCCTATACTGAACTTAGAACCCTAAGTGCCCCTAAGTCAAGAGCTCCGTCTCTCATCTCCGAGGCAGCGCCTGGAAGCAATTAACGACGCGAAAAGCGATGACTCCTCGGATTCCGAGACCCCTTCAACATTTTTTAACCCTAACCTCAAGCCTGAGATCCGAAACCCTAGACCCTCGCTCCCTAAAATTTTCGGACCAGCTTGCGGAATTTGCAGGGCATACAGGACTTGCAAGTGTTAAAGGGCTCGCGGCCCTTGTGGCTTTTACATGCTTGGCATGTGCATGGGCACCATTACACCCTCACCCTGAGTCCTGTTTGGAAGCATTTTGGGAATCAAGGCTGCTTAAGGCTTACAAGCTTTGCAAGTGACTGCGAACAAAGTTTAGTCTTTGGGGTGTGAGGGTCAGCGCCCAGTAAGATTTATAGTAGGTTGCCGCAGTACGGGCACTGTAAGGCCTGTGGAAGGTGTATGGCACAAAATACGCTAAGGTAGTGTTCCACGCATACCTTAAACTAACAAACCCTACTTTTTTGTAGGTTCTGATTATAAACCCTAGTATGGAAAATATAGGGACCCTACAAAAAAGTAGGCTTTGGGAGATTAAGGTAGGTGTTGAAGTTCCGTCCTAATCCGAAATCAGAGACCGGGCTGCTCAGAAAACCCTCAGCCTAAACTGGGCCTAAATCCTAAACCTTAGACTAGACCTAAGAGAAACCTAGGAATAAAAAGGGTGCCCTTTTTGGTTTAAAGGGTGTTAGACGGGAACCTAAACCTTAAAAAAGGGAATAAGGGCCTACTCTGGGTCCTAGTAGAAGGGGCCCCCACCCTGTAATAGTGATTATAAGGACTATATTAGGGCCCTGTTATGTTCCTATTATGCCACTATTACAGGGTGGGGGCCCCTTCTAACCTAAACCCCTGGACCCCCCCAAACTCACGAATTCCAAACGAGGGGTAGCCGAAACTGTAACTCCGGGAGCCTCTCCTATACACCCTCTCCCTCCCAGACGCACCAGGGCTTACCTTAACCCCAAATAACTTGCCGTCTTTTTCAGGACTTGTATAAGGACATCATAATAAGGATCCTTAGAAAGGTATATAGGCTATTTGGGTTGAGGTAGGGTTTACGGTTTTCGCCGCGGTTAGGGTTTAGGGTTCCTTGCTCGCGGAAAAAATGTCGCTCTCAGCTTAGGCCATACGGTTGCTACAAGGTTCGCTTTCGCCTTCTGAGTAGTGCTGGCCTACGTATGTTGACACAAGCGTCGCTCTCGCCTTCGTAGTACTGTCTTACGTGGTCATCGCTAGCCTTGTTAGTTCACTACTCCTTCGTTCGAAATGCCAATCAACATTTGGGATGCCCTCTTGAAGGTGCATCTACCAACTGCACTGCCAGGTACATGGAGGTCAGAAGGGATCTGTGTGCTGAGGCCCTTGCTGAAGGCCTGAACATTTTTGAAAGGGGTGCGGGGTCTCAATTACTATGTAAAACCCTTGAAGTCCTAACCTATTAATACCCTTCTCAAGCCGAATACGAAACCTGGTGTACCATGCGACACTGAGAACAGCTGTCTTTTGAGGAGCATCCGAGTGAGATCTCAGCACTTCTTGCACAGACGCTGTGTGGGCTTGTAAGGTTTAGGGCTTGCGCTTGAAAGCTTGGGGGCGTAGGGGTTTGGGGTTTCAGGTTCGGGGTCTCCTACTAGTTATTTGCCTGTGGTGCTAGCATTGTGACAGACTTCCTAGGCAAGGCAAAACATGAACCAACGTCTCCCTCAGTGCAAGATGTGCGAAGAGTCAGAAGATCCGTACCTCGGAGGGCCGGGTGCTCAGGGCTCGAAACCACAAGGAGGTTCCATGCACTTATATGATTCAGCTTGGGCCTGAAAGTAAGTACCTATGTAGGAACCCCTTGAAGGCTAAAGTAGACACTATCTAAACGTACATGGGCCCCATAAACCCCCTACAGCAAGTTCAATAGCACCCTGATCAAAAAGAACATAGAGAACCCGTACAGGAAGCCCAGTAGAGGAGCCCTCTGGGGCAGAAGGAAACCCACAAAAAACTGGCCTTTGCAACGGTTTCCTATGGGACTATAAGGGTGTTATAAGCTTACAAGAGCAGGCGGAATATTTCGAACATGGTCTGACAGGAACGGATAAGTGATCTGAGGTGTTGCGACATACGTTTCATAACTTTGCAAAAAAGCCTTTTAAAAGAAACGAGTGTTGTACCAGTTCATACAAGGTTTTGACACATGCAGGGGCCAGAACAGCAACAGGCCCCGGGATCCATTACGTAACACTTTCGTATACCATTAATTGTACGGAAGTATTACTAGGTATCCAGACAACTGAAACGTCTTGAACCTGCAATAAACCTCAATCTCTTGATCCTCCTCGGATACTCAAGCACAGCCTTTCAGCAAGATCCTGTTGACCAATGTCAGATAGAGATCCTAGACAGCGGGATCGCTGCAACAAAACACGGGCACCCTCGACCGTAAGATAACCCCCGTCTCTCTCTGTCAGACAACTTACAACTGTACTATAGGGGCCCGAATAATTCGAAAGCGATTCTGGGCGAATGATATGTTCTAAGAAGGAACCAAAGGAATGATACGGGTATTATTTACGCCCGTTCTAGACCTAAGAGTAACCTAGGAATAAAAAGGGTGCCCTTTTTGGCTAAAGAGGCTTGCTTATAAGGGAACCTGAACCCTACAAAAGGGAATACGGGCTTACTCTGGGTCCTCGCGTTAGTGAGTTTGAAGCGCAGGGCAGGGAGGTTGGCAACACTACCAAAGCCTACTAAACGAGAATCACCCGCTCAAGCAACACATACATGGGGCATTGAGGGCCAATCTGAGACCGGGAGGTTCCTAATTAAGCCCTAAGCCCGGCCAATGCTGTGCAGACAAAATCCAAAAAGCCGGAAAAAAGGGTTCGCTCTCGTCCTTGGCACGAACATGCACGAACCCTAAACCTCAAATTCAGGTACGCCAAAAGCGTCTACATCAAGGGATCTTTGTTTTCATAACCCCTAAACAAGGTATCAGAGCTCTGCTCCGTGGGTTTCTCCCTTGCTTTTATCACTAGGCACACGTCGTGAGAAACAGCACAAGCCAACAAGAGGCTGGCGTTCATTCCATTGTCGGATTGGGCGGCATGCTCTCTTTCCGACAGAACCTTAAAATGCCCTAAAACCGAAACCCATAATTAGCGATCTTCTTTGTGTTCGCGCCACTGTTCTCGCACACAGACGAAGCTAAGCTGGCTCCGGGTCTGATTGCAAATCATCTTAGCGGCTGGGTACCCAAGCACAAAAATGTCAACTGTTTGTTCGATTGCGGTGCGGCTATATGTATGTGATTTTATACAGTACTCTCTCTCTCTATATATATATATAGATATAAGAGTCAATGACTCCAATAGGTAATCCGTGGGGCTTTAACTATATACATATATATATATATATACACACACACCCAAGTATGGGTAACTATGGTGTGATTATGTATAGCCCAGAAGATCTAAAGGTTGGCTACCCAGCCCCTAAGGCCCAAAGTCGTGTGCCTGGGACCTTGCACACGCTGACGGAGGCTCCACCCCCAGGCACGCCGCTGCTAGAAACTACACTGAACTTACAACCCTAGCACAAATTACAATTTTAGCTGTTTCCTAGGGATTATAATAGCCAAAACTTAAAACAGCAAGGCAGAGCTTGAGCCTCAGCCTCAGCTTAAGCAAGCAGCTCCAGCATTGTTTTGATGTCCTTTGCCGCAGTCTTGATCTGCGACCTGGCCTGCTCGAGGTAGTTTGCGGGATTGTTCACCTGCCAGTTTCCAGAATTCGCATATCCAGATGAATATGCAAGGCCGTCGGCGTTGTCCACGGCCTCCACGAACTCTTCCAGAGCATCCTGAAAAATGCCGGGATCGCTGGCTGATGAGGCCACTGCTTCGCAAGTCTTCTGAACCTGCGCCACAGGGGAAGTACTGGCCTTGAGCCCGTTCCGAACGATATCGCCACTCTTGTTCTTCTTGATCGACTCGTAGCCCGCCAGGAGGTCGTCCAAGGCCTTCTGCGCCTCCTGCAACTGCTGGCGGGCCGTGTCCACGCTCGCGGCGGCACGTGCCGGGGCGGCTCTGCCGGTCGCTGCCACGGTGAGCGCCAACACGCCGCGCCTGCTGAGCGCAGGAGGAGGCTGGCTGAGGCTGAGCCACGTCGGACCCGCGAGCAGCGAGCGCAGCGAGAGCAGCGAGAGAAGCAATGGAAGCGCCCAGAGACGGTTTTGACCGCGAGAAGCCCGAAAAACAGCCATGGCTACACTGCAAGGCTTCGAACGTACCCTACTTACTACGTACCTAAACCCTGAGCTCGTATACGACGAGGCTACACTCGCGGCTCCAACATTGTGGTTGTGGCTTGTGGGACAGCTATGGGACAGCTACCGTCGTGATTACTCTTTGTCTGTGGGAAGAAGCGCACCGGCGGAACGTCGCATCAAGCAACGTGACCTATCAACCCAAAAACCTGAACCCTGAACCCATAGCACCCTTGTGTCTTCATGATATGTCTCAACAACGAAAGGGGCTGTATAGTGCAATTTAGGGGCCTTAGTGATTTGTCATTTGGGGTATCGAATAGCATCATTGTGCTCTAACGTGACTATCAGGGCTGCGAGTAGGAATTATGCAGATCCTTATGCGGGGCTCAGGGCTTGCAGTGCATGAGGCTTCGTTCCCCAACCCCCTAGCCCTAGACTCCACTGGCAACACCAAAATCTTCAGCACCGAATCACACAGCCTGCCCGCCCAACGCTGTCGTCTGAATATTTTGAAAATGAAAACACCGTCTTCGTCCTGGAACACTCATCACCCCAGAATGGCATTCTCTATAGAGCACTGTATAGAGCATAGAACCCTCTTTTCAAGCATCCACGGAGCCCTCCAAACACCCCATTAAGCCACCTGTCTTGGATAGACATGACAACAGCAGAAACGAGGCTGCTGCAAAGCACCGGCGTAGTGCTCTTCTGAAGCTGCCTCTACTAGATTCTGCTTAAGGAGCTTAAGTTCGGTGGTGTAGGGTTTAGGGCTTGGCTTACGAGGAGAAAGTGTTCCACAGTGTATGTCCGGATTCTGATCCCAACGGCATCATTTTCGGACTGACACTAACGATGAACCGAACTTGATGTACAAGAATTAAAACTAAGGTCTACACTTTATGGTATAATGAGGCTCCCAAATTTAGGGCTGAGGCTTAGGTATATAGGATTTGCGGGCACGGTCATACGCAGTAAGGTTTGTATGTAGCACTAACGCAGCTAGGATAGCACTCCAAGTACATATTCACCAGGGCCCTTCCAAAACCCTCAACCCTAAACTGTCACAAAACCTGCCTCAAATGCAATTCTGCAGCTTTTAACTTGCATGCTAACCAAAAACACCAAAGCCTCAACCCCCACTCCAGGTTTAACGTTGAAATAGGCGGCTGGTACAGTCCCGTCAAGTTTGTCTAGTATGGCCTGGTATAGAAAAGATTCAGTTGCGATATAGCATAAAAAAATGTAGTCTACTACAGCACGGCGTAAAATAGCATAGTGTAGTAGAGTACAGAATAGTACAGAGTAATCCCGTATAGTACGGTTCTGCAGTACCGTAAACTACCGTACAGTGTCGTACAGGAAAGTATGGTACAGCGAAGTATAGTGGAGTAACGTATGAATTAGCACAGTATCGTAGAGTGCACTGCAAACAGTAGAGGGCAGCATAGTAGTATAGTATTAAGACGAGTACTGGCATTAGTAGAGCATGAGCATGAGTAACTGTATAAAGCACAAATAGCACAAGTACAATATGCGTAAACACTGCTGTTGGTACGGCTGTTAGTGTTTGTGCTAACATCATTAGTACTAGTAGTAGACTATTTTCTTGTTGTGACCGCCTAGCAACGAGCAGAAATAGCTTCGGGGTTTTCTTTGTAGGCTTCGTTTTGAACCCTCACAGCAGCTTGTTGCAACTGTTATTTACCGGAAAAGTGGGAAACATCCCAGCACGGATTAACATCCCGTGGAGCCAACACAATACCTCTTAACCGACATGCACTAATTAGCCCAGAAGTCCCAATTGAAAATCTCATATATCATATCATGTATGGAATATTCTTCAAATCAAACTAAAGACCCGTTGGTATGGTTCGAAGGAGTGTTGTTTCAACCATACTGAAAATGAAGACATATTCCTCCGATCCTTTTCAGAAGAATCCGATGCTTCTCAGAACCCTCCTGAAATTTGTGGAATCTTCTTTCTCCAAGCCCCACCAAAACTTCCCTGGGTTCCATAAGTCAAGGCATTCTTGATCAAGTACAAGGCGCTTGGGCCCCAACGAGACCTTTGACCCCGAACAACTCGGCAAAAGATGACGCGAAACCCGAAAGGCTGTGCCTGCTATGGTGTGCTAATGCTAAGGATTTCTGCAGGGACGATAAGGGCTTGGGACTGTATATGGCCCCCTTCATGCACGCTACATAATGGTTTTACAGCCTTCAGATTTGCACTGTTGGTTTTATGGCGTCGCAGTAGGTTCCAGCTTCTGTAGAGGGTTTGCGAGGTTTTCAGGGGGGTGATGCAGAGTGCAAGAGGTGTGTATCTGGGCTTAGCAATATCAAGGTTCGTAAAAAATCACAGGGGCTAGGACTGACTAGGAGAGTTCTAAGGTTGCAGAAGGGCATTTGGGTTTGCAACTGGTTTTCATGCGGAGTATTGAGAGATTTCTCTTGGGCGCCATAAAGCTCATGATCTGCTTCGAGTTGATCGCTGTTAGGAGATCTTTCGGCGAGGGTTTGGGCTTAACTTTAGGTTCACGGTTTAGGTTTCGGTTTCACAACGGCATGTTCGTTTAAAACTGAACCTTAGCTGTGCAACGCTTCAATATGACCTTCCGGGCCGAGATGTCGGAGCGGTTGCTGTCTTCAGGTTTTCTGCGGGGTATGGTCTGTTCCGAATTAGGACACCTTTTTGTGCGGAGGCATTTATCAGAAACAGTGCCCAATGATGCGGAAGGGTGCTACAATGCCTGACAGGGTGAACCAGGCTTTCAACCTGTCACCGCATCGCAACTCAACTCGTCCGGACGACAGTCCCAGTCAACCGACTCATTCGTAAGTCGAAAGATGGGCGACTTTTCGAAGGCACAAGCTCTTACTGCGAGCTTGGCTCATTTCTTAGTATAGGCCTTCCCTCAGGCCCTCGCAACTGCAAGTCGGCGAGGGACTCGACGGTGGCAAAGGTAAGCTTGCTGTCGCGATGCACCATCTCCTGGCAGTCGGAGCCACTTGGGGTTGGGGTGCTTGCGGTATACCTCTTCGTGCTTCTTCCCGGCGTTCAACCCAAAAACAACCTTGAAGACTTGAGGCTGCGTTCTACTGCTAGCTCCCGCTCAAAACCCTCAAAGCCCCGACTCCTCAGTGAAAACCCTAAACCGGGGTTCAGTGCTCCTTGAACTTCTCCCAACAATATGTGGCCTCCGGGGTAGGGCCCATGTCCCGGTACAGCTTCAGAGTGCGGCTGACCTCTGCTTCTTTTTGAAACGCGGGAGCACGGGAGTGACGCATCTTGGGCTTGAGGAGTCGGGTTTGAGGTTTGGGGCTTCGGGTTTCGGACCATGCTCGCGGCTCTTGGACCACTACAGCTCGCTCAGGCTCTAGACCTGCTATTTCTGCTGCGAAAAGGGGTTGAGATCACTACGGCTGCATAGAGGCTTGAAGTTCAGAGTCCAAGGTCAGGGGCAAACAAAGATGCTGGGCTTTGGAGGTGTGTGTCGGACACGGACGCAGCCCCACCTCCGCGACGGTCTCAGGCTGCACACTGACTACGATGTGTTCCAAACAAAGCGCCCACAGATGGTGCATCTCATACCTGGGAGGTCTTTAAGCCTGTTTAGAGTTTGGAGGCTTTAGGGTCTTGGTAGCTCTGGTCTGATTGTATGAGGTAAGGGCAGGGTCACTACTTCTCTTCGAGGACGAGCCTGAGTCCAACAAAGGAGCATCAACATGCAGGCGAGGATGAGAACATAAATCAATACAACAGAATAGAATATCGCGAATCACTTGCCGCAGGACACCCATCGCCTATAACAGTCTAAGTTTTCGTGGTTTTCCGTGCCTTGAACCCCATTGAATCCAACGCTAGCAGGATCCTTCATGAGGATCCCCAAGAAAGACCCCCGGCAAAATGAAGCCAGCCCCACATCCTAGAATAAACCGCCCCAAATGACGGTTCTTGTGCATCAGGTTTAGAGTTTTTTTTTTTAAAGTGCAGTGACGCTTTCTCCGCTCCGCACGCAGAGCAGGTCCAAGGCCTGCCTCAAAAGGCTTGCACTAACACGAAAGTCTCTCAGGACACATACTGCAAGAAAGAGCACCCTCACCTTCACAGTCAGAGACCAACCCATCTCACTGTGCTTCATCACGACTGCGACTGCGATCACGTTGTTGACGACGGTAGGAGGAAGAAGACGAGGCCGCGCGACGACGTGCATTACGAATCCATTCAGCCGACTCATCAGAGCTGACACCGACAACACGCTCACGACTCGCACCATGAAGGCCCGGAGAATCGTGGTGCTGATAGCCATGGGCCACTTTGGAGCGTCACTGCCCAGAACCGGCAAGACTGGTCTGCAACTCGCGACAAATATATTGCAGATTGGGACACGCGGTGGACTCGTGGTCGTCAACTTTCCATCCGTTGTTAAGGGTTCGTCCTCTTCGGGGTCGTGGGTTGCTCTTGGGTGTCTTCTACCTGTGCCTGGACGCAACTTGTTGAACCCTTCGCAGGCTGAATAGCTGCTTTCCATGCTCTGGGCGACCCATGATCCTCTCTCTCTCTCTTTGCGGTACTTTCCCTTGATGCCTGTGATCACCTTCCGCCCCTCTCTCTTTCTGGCATGCCGAACCTCACACTGTGCATGCTCTGTGACATGAGTGACTTCGAGATCTGCCGTCTGCGACTTTTTCATGAACCGTGTCTGCTCGGCTCGAGGCGTTTTCGAGAACCACGCGACGCCCTCCTTTTCGAACCCTTCCTTGTGATCATGGCGCGGCTCCCTTCGCCTCTCTTGGGATGGCTTTGCTTGGCGGCCTTTGCCTATGGTGCCCTGGATGATGATGATGATGACCAACAACCTCTACCTTACTGGCGAAGCTGGACCGCGGAGGAGATTGCTGCCTACACCGCTGCTGCGTGGGGTGAAGACTCCTGGTCGCCGCCGCCGCCTCCTACCTGGGATACACCTGCCTCTGGGAACGTTGGTCAACCTGGTGAATGGTCTTCGTCCTCGGCATCGAGTAGTTCCTCGAGTTGGTGCCCGGCCTCTTCCTCCACACCAACCATGTCTACCTCTTCGGGCACTGACAATTTAAGATCTTCGGCGTGGCCTACAACACAGTGGGACGGCAACATCAGTCTTGCCATCCAACGCGATGATCTTATGCAGACTGCGGTGTGGGGTGACGGCTCCTCTGCCCTCCCACCCATCCCTGAGGACATTCCGTTGCCTTTTGGAAGTGGATTGTCTCCTGCTGATGTTGACCCCTATGTGGTCGACTTTGTCCCTCCGGAGAGTGACACGCTTGTGGAACCCTCAGCTGCTGCCCAGGATGCAACTTCGTCTTCGTCCTCTTCTATGTCATCACCGTTGTGTCCGGATGATTGGCTTGCGAAAGTGATTGACAAGCGTGTACTTCGAGGTGGCCGTCAACTCCTTGGTCGTGATCCTGCCTCACTTCTTCGAGATGCTGGTCGACCACGTGAAGCAGAAACGGATGGAGTCCCTAACCCTGCGGAGCACAGGGATGTACCTCTCCTTGGGATGACCTCACGCGGCGGCCGTGAACGAGGTGGCGTGGACCGCTGGCACCACGCTGATGGCTCCGTGCGTTCGCGTCTTCGTGAACGCCTTGAGGCTGAAGCTCGAGCACGGGATCCACCTGAAGAACACAACCGCTTCCCTCCACACGGTCCCAGCGATGCTGAGGTCAATGTCCCTGATGCCCCAGCGAGCAATGGCATGGAAATCCCCTTGAGGGAACCCGCGGCCTTCTCGGTGCTGGAGGGTGACATCCATGACGATGGGGAGCCTATTATCAAGGCGGTCACGTTCTACGGTGACCACTTCCAGGTTCGAGCTGGGATGTGTTCTCGTGGACCTGCGAATACTTCTACTACAGCGGGGAGTTCCTCTGTTGACACCGATGATGGGGAGACTTGTCCGAGCTCTTCGTCTTCTACCTCTCCGTCTACACTTGGGTTCTGGCGACATGGCGTTTGGCACGCGCGCGAGCGCTCCGAGGAAGAACTTCGAGCCCACCGCGGCGGAATGGGGCCCAAAAGACTTGCGAGGAAGGCTGCACGCATGCGCTCGTATGCGGATGGTACCTGGCGTCCGGCCTGGCTCACGGACTACATCAAGGGCAAGAAAGAACGGGATGAAACCAGAGCAGCAAGACCAGCACGTTCATGTTGAAGTTCCTCAAAGGGGATGGCGTTCAACTCTTCACCAAGCGTGGCTGTGGGATGCAGAACAGGTGGAGGACGAGGATGAAGAGCACGGCGTCGATGTCGAATCCGATAGCGTGCTGGTAGAGGACGAGGAGCCGTGAGCGAAGGAGTATTGCCCACAGGACTCGACTCATTCACTTGAATGAGGTAAAGGCTCTGATCATCCTCTGACGGCCAAAGCCCCCCTGGCACAGGTAGACCTGCTTGAGCATGAAGATCGCGAGCATGGTGATACCAGCTCCTTCTTCTGAGTCCAACTATCGTGTGGCGTGAGAATTGGGGAAGACTTTGCCAAAGACGGTCAAGATCCGTCGGAAACCCAGGCTGGAGGAGGGCAGCTGCTTGAGCAGTGACCTGTGTGGTTCCAGAGGATGATGGGCCATCTGCAAACTCAGCTTCACGACCAATGTTGCCCCACATCGCCAGTTCCATTGTCGGTGCATTAAAGGCCTGGGCATTCTCTGGAACAGTGACCCATGTGAGCGTCTCTTCAATCGCGATGCCGGTAAGGCGAAGAAGGTGCTGGAGTCGGCGTTGTCGAGCAATGAGGCGGTGTAGAACTTCCACCACATCCGCGCTCGTCGCATGAACAAGTTCTCGATTCACAGCATCACGAACGACATCAGCAGGCATGAGGGGCAGCGTCGAAGTGGAGGACGTCGAAGTAGACGAGGGCATCCCACACCATTCGCCGAAATGTTCCCCATGTAGATCACTCCAACGGGAAGTGGTAGTGCTGGTGGTAGGGACAGAGCAGGACCCCAAGCAGATCTGTAAGTAGCCCAGAAAGTCAACCTCTGCTTCATCGTCACAGTGGTTCATATCTCCTGGTTGAGGTGGGGCAGACAACGAAGAGGACGAGGACATAGACGAGGTAGTAGTGCTCGTAGTGCTTGTAGAGGGTGCATCCTCATCTGGCTCTCGCCATAGTCCTAGAAGTTCACCATCCAGAGCACGGGCTTCTTCTCCACGAGGACCGGTGGCCAGGGCATCCGCAGTTTCAGCCGGCGATCCGGGGGAAGAGATTGCAGCACCTGATGCAGGTAAGGATCCATGTAGCGAAGGAGCACTGCTGCTTGCTGACGCCCTGGACCGACTTCGCGACCGTGAGCCGCGGGAGGGAAGGCTGCCGACACTAGCTTCGACACGTCTGCGGGGGCACACTGGATTCGGAGAGGCATCGACGTTAGCCACCTGCTCAACCTCCTCATTGACAGGGCCAGAAGGGTCTTCTCCACATTCTCCAGGCTGAAGACCAACCCTAAGGTGACGTTCCAGGTGTTCGACGAACATTGAAACGTACCCTCTCACCCAGTTGAGAAGCTGGTAACGTGACAGCTGTTGCCGAGGGACACGTTGAATCGGCCAATAGCCGCGAGCTTGGAGTCTGCGCACCAAAACCAGGTGAAAGGCCTCTAAACATGAGATCCCGTCTTCAAGGCGCCGAACTAAACAGGCGATGGCCCAACGAGACTCAGGGCCATTGTCTCTGTCATTTTCGCGATCTAGAGCCTCCAGCAGTTGTTCCATACTGTCAATCCCGGCGCGGTTGACACCAGCTTCAGCAAGTGATGCTCTTTCGGCCCCTGTCATTTGCATAGGGTTTAGAGTTTAGGCTTTGCATCATGTGCATAAGTTTCTGCTTGGATCAAGGTTGCCGGTGAGCAAGCGATGCGAGCTCCACAGCTTCCTTCTCTTTCGGAAGGTAGCCCGTGCGGAGATAGCCGACGAATTGCCTTGATAGTCGCGTTTGTTTCAGAAAACTAGCACCAAGTGCGCAGGATAACTAGAGTAAGCTACAGATGAGTACCACTGCGCAAACGGACCTTGTGAAAGTTTGCATCGGAAGGGCCCTGCGTCTGATGGAGCTGGACATCCAAAACCTCCAAATTCCCGACGTTGCAAACCTTCGTATAATTGCAGAAACCCTCAAAACCAAGAAAAGCCCTCAACCCCTTTACGAAGGGCGAGCTCTTCGGATGCCCTACTCCGAGCTGCTGAAGTGCCGCGCCGGAAAGGCCGAGATCGATGCGGCCCTCCTGGATTGAACTTGGGGTTTTGATGGGAGGCCCAAAGTGGGGTTTAAGATTCTTGCGGTAGGGATTCCGTATTATGAACCCTATCATGGGAACCCTAATCCCTACTAAACCCCCATAGCTCATAGGCTAAAACCCGTTTTGGCCTCCTATGGGGTTTATGATAGTCAGTGAACGCTTTGCGCGTTCTGGGCAGGACCCGCCAGGTCTCCACACCAAACATGCCCGACAGAACCACATATCCGTATTTTGAGCTTTTCAGGGTTCAGGATTACGGGTCCAAGTGATTCGGGGTTTGGGTGCTGCGGGAGACTACTGATC